ACCTTCTTCTTCTTCTCCGAAGAAGCCTTGCCGTGGCCCTTGTCATCACCACCGTGGCTAGAGGAGGCTTCCTCGGAGTTCCTCCGGGCAGCCCACTCCTCCTCTGTCTACAGTAGCTTGCCGCTGTCCGTCGTTGCTGTGGCCTGCGCCATGCACTCGTCCACCACCCATAGACGGCCTATCACATCCTCAATAGTGAGGGTGGATAAGTCCAGCATCGTCTCTATGGAGAGAGTGATCTGGATGTATTTCACCAGCATGGAGTAGAGGTACTTGGAGACTGCCTCTACTTCATCGATGGTGACGCTGTGGCTCTTCAGCTTGCTCATGAACAACTACAGGCGGAGGGAGAAGTCCTCCACCGATTCACCATCTTTGAACTTGAGGTTAGCGTACTCCTGCTTCAGCAGCTGGGCTGCCGCCTTCTTTGCGCGGTCGGAGCCGACGCGCATCATTGCAATGGCCTCCCACGCCTCCTTAGCAGAGTTCTTCGCGCCCAACGGCTCCCTATACTCCGCTGGCACAGCAGCGAGGATAGCCTCCAATGCTAATATGTCGTCTTCTTTGTTGTTGGTGCCATTGTCAATAGCATTCCAGAGCCTTCGGGCTCTGAGCTTAACCTTCATGGTCTCCGCCCACTCGCCATAGTTGGTGTGAGTCAGCGTCGGCCAACTGGTGCCGCTGACCTCCTGCACCGTGCGCACGATGACCTCCTGTCGTGGCTGGGCAGCCACAGCAGCGCCGCTGCTGTCGCCCATCTCCAAACCGTCCGTCATCGCCAGCGGTTAGTCCGACGACAGCGTTTATACGGCTCCGATACCACTTATTGGTGCCTGAATCTCCGGCACGGGTGAGCCAACCGCTCACCGACGTTGCCGACCACACACTATGGCTAGAGGTAGAAGAAGGGAGAAAGAACAGAGCGCACACACACACAGCACCAGCACCAGCGTTGGCCAGAGCTCTACAAAGGAGATGGCAAAACTGAACTCGCTCTCTTTACTGAGTTACAGTGGGAAACTATATATACAACTCTACCCATCTAATCCTAGTACACAGACATGTCAGGCTGCGATGCTGCTACAGTGACTAGATATAACAGCAGGGCTGACTTTGACGCCTGCCCCTGCTATGGCTATAGTGCGAGAGGGGAGCCTTTCGGCGCCTGCCCCTGCAGCGGCTACTGTGCAGCAGCAGGAAGCCTTTCGACACCTGCCCCTGCTGTGCGTTCACACAGGGGAGTAGCAGATTACTTAATATAGATAGGGAGTATGACCTGTAGATAACGACAACTCATAAAATAACATATATAATAAATATTGAAATAATTATATATTTCAAAAATCAATATAGCTATATCCCAAAAAGAATGATGTTATGAGATGCTTGCTAGTCAAACTTTCTCAAGTTTAACTAGCTTTATAGAAAATATTAACAATATTTGTATCACTAAATAAATTTATTATGAAAATATATTCCGCGATTTATCTAATGATACTAGTTAAGCATTATAAATATTAATATCTTTTATAAGTATTTATCAATAAATAGTTTAAAAAAATAACAAATGATTGCATCAATATATGCATAACTAAAATACTTAAAATTAATATGATTAGCCATATTAAAATTAATACTTTATATATCGTTAATAATAAAATTAAAATATATTAGCCATAGAGATAAGTATTTAAATAGTTTAGATGATGCATATCATTTGTTATATTAAAGTTGATATCATTTACATTATTTTTTTTGATAGGTGATATCATTTACATTATTGATTAGTCATAGATATAAGTTTTAGATGTCTTTCCGAGGTATTTTGTTATTGACGATACGGACAAATGTCAGGTATTTCACATTTTTTTAATACGGAGGTGGAATCTGGTAGTGAAGAATCATAAAAATAAGTACCTATATACTCCGTATATCCACTAAGGGCGTCCGTAATGGTGCTACCTACGTAGCTAGCTTACGTGGAGATGAGAGACAAAAGACAAATACTATTTTATATTTTCTTATTTTTCTATGTACTATTGGACCCACATGTTCCTCTCTCAAGTTCTCGGACTACGTGAAATAGATTAGCTATTTGTTCATCGCTGGTGACTACTCTCTCTCCTACTTTTTCGCTATCCACGTCCGAATAGCTAGTCAAATAGCTAGCTGTTGGGGATGCCCTAAGTATCTATATTAAATTAAAAAGAATACGGATATCAACATTGACGTTGAAATGAATACATCAGATCTTTTGCAATCCGAATCGGTCCCTGTTCACAGGTGGTGTGAGAAGAATTCAAGGTCCCTATGAGCACCGTCGAAGAGCGAGCCGGCAAATCCTCGAGATTATTGATGAAGTCACCATAGGCGCCTCAGCTGTCTACGGGAACATCGCCTGCCACTAAAAGCACAATGCTGATAAATCATGAAATATTCGCTCTCACGGAGAGTTAAACCGAGGACCTGAGATGGTACGGAGGATCATGTAACCACTAGTCCACGAGCCCTTTCACAAATAATTTACTAGTTAACTATACTAGTTAGTGTCCTTACTGATTATTCTTTCTAGGTATTATTCTCTAGTAGTATTTATATAACCTAAGAATACTTTTTTATTATCTTTTTCATATCTCGTTTGGTCTTGTTATTGTTGTGATTTTTATTACCTATAGATTGTTCCATGCTGTACACCCCTAATTAGCTAGTTACTAATAAATATAGTTAGTGTTTTGCTTATTTATTCTCCTTACACATTTATCTCCAACGACATCAAATTTTATTTAGGATTAGTCTTCCTTTTATCTTGTCACCTCAAATCATTTGTTCATATTATTACCGTGACGCATGTGAAACAGTACTACTGGTGGCTGTAAGAATTAAGGAAGATATAGAGAAGAGAAATAGAGCTTTTGCTTATGCATAGCGGCTGCCTCCCCTAGTGGAGAGTGCCCTGTAATGCTCCACTATGGAGTGTTACATAAACTCTCTTTTATTCTTAATTAATATAATAAAGGTAGAGCTCCTGCCATTGCGTTAACAAAAAAAAAACTATTATCGTGATTCTGTTTCAGCATACGAGTTAGATTGATCATGTGAATATTAGAGATCTAAGGTTAATCAAATTTTATTCTCTTTTTTCTTTGTAATATATAGTGTTTTTTAGTTTTTAGCTTTCTTTTGTAGCACAAAGTAAACGTTTATTTGCTGTTATATACGCTCTTGTCGTGTACGGTATATATTTTGTGACGTAGAGTTGTGTCATCTTGAACGTACAGCCTCTCAAATTCTGGCTCCGCCCGGCTCGCGGCATGCGAGTTTGTGCCCTGGGCCTCCTGCCGACGAGCGGCCTCGCGTCGCGGACCACCAATCCACCATGCACGCACTCCAACTTTGCGGCGCGCGCGTCGCCGGCCGTCTCCGTTGCAGTGGCCAGTGGCCGCTGGTGGGTGGCTGTGCAGACTAGCAGCTTGTCGGGAGGCCGTATCGTATCGTGGATTATTTACTGTTGACTGATTTGATGTGAGAGAAAAATATTGTTCCCGGTTGAAAATTTACGATCGTTTATGAGCAATCGAACAGGCTGTAGCTCAAGGGATCGGATCGGAAAGGCAAAAGAGGAATGCTTTTTTTTGTGGGGTTCTCGTCGCCCATTGGCACAGATCGTAGTACCAAGGACGCCCGGGCTGCGACGTAACTAGGCCCTAGACGTAACAACGGCTTGATCTTGACACGGACGACAGAGACGGTGGTTGCCCGTACGCGTCCGTCCCAGATCTCAGCTCTGCCATTGGCACAGCCGCCGCACAGGACAAGCTCCATCCGTCGTCGTCGCGCGGATGCGGACGCACAGACACAGTGAGAAAACGTGCCAGCAGCACTCTGCACCACTCCTCCTCGTCCCACGTCTTGACGCGCCGGCCAGGCAAAACCACTCACGGACACACACCACACGGCGGTTTGGTCTTCTGTATATATACAGCCATGGTCTCTCGATCGTTGGCGTGGGCTATCATCGTTCGGTTCAGTACTGCTACCACATACAGGCCGGTCGGTCGGTCGGTCGGGATGACACGGTAGGCGCGCATGTACACACACAGTCGCGCGCGCCGAATACCAGTGCAGCAGCACCCGCCACATGAATCAGACCGGCCGGCCGGGGAACACGTACGACGACGGCACAGTACTAGCTAGCTGCTTCTGTCAACCGGACGCCGTAATAATTAATCAAGTCAGGAGCCCTACGAGAGAAGGCTGATGGAGGCCCACCAGGCCGTTCCGCTTCGTTTCCATGAACCATAATCCCGCAACCGGAACGTAGCCATGTTGTTGCTACATGCGGCCCAGGACAAAAACACTCGTGGGATAGATGGACGGAATCAAGGAAGTAAAAGCCCAGTTCTTGAACATAGAGAAGAATGCCTGGAAGTTTGGTGGTACAGTGATCTGGTAGTAATCAGAGATCGCTCACCATGGTATTATGAAGATCTCACGACAATAATAATGCTGTTCTTCGTTTGTGATGGATCGCCAATATCCATGTCTCTCTTGGGCCATTTTTCCATGCCTCCATCATAGGCAGTTCTTCGTTTGTGAGTGTGAAATTGCAGCACCCCAAACAGTCGATCACGATGCAATGACACCTCACAGGAAATGTTTCATGCGCGTGCATGACGCGCTCAGATACGCATAACGCAACAGCATCTCGCGATATAAGAGAATTCAGCAACAAGTGCCGACATACGCACATGTAGCCATCTATATATACTGTCATTACCAAACATGAGCAAGAGAAACAAACAAGTGCCAACATACAGCAACAAGAGGTTGCACGGTACAACTTACAAGTGTCTCCAGTTAACTGCTTGAAGTAGAGAGAAGTGATCTGGGGGGTCGATGTGTAGTGTAGCGGAGGATTTGGGCTGATGGGGTAAGATGGAACCAGCTGCACTAGTTGCAATGAGGAAGGCGAGTGCTTCTTATCATGGAAGATATTTCTTCTAGACTTTACCCTCCCAAAGGCACTCAACAGAGGGACTACCGTCACCGCGATTCTTTGTTGATGGCGCATGCAGTAAGAGGTCCCGGAGATGAGCTGGTGGCTGGAGGCCCATGGCAGAGGCTCGCTCCCAGCGCTGAAGCCGAGTAACACCAATGCATGGGCCAAACTTCATGTCCATGTCAAACTGTCGCAGCTGCTCTTCTTGATCACCAAAATCATCTGCAGCAACATTGCCACAAGCAACAGGCTTAGGGTATCAAAATGGAAAAAAAAACTTGAGATAGCACTAATATATGAGTATAATTATATATAAAAAAAAAGAACTTCTACACTTCCCCACAAAGTGAGGAGCACAGAAATTAAAGAGGATTACTCATATCATCCTATGACCCTCGGCAAGTAGCAAGAGTACCTTTGAGATCCCAGGAGCCATGAGAAACTAGAGCTGATGTCTGAGCAGTATCTGGGGCGCCAACAGAGGCCCCACCAGTGTACTGCTGTGTCTTCTTCTTCGAAGATGATGCTGCCTTGGTCACACCTCCTTTCTTTTTCAGCCGGTAAAAATCTTTCACACCACCAGACGACATGTTTCTCTATTCTTCAGTCCTGCAAGTGTTTCTTTATCAATTCCTTCCAGCAGAAATTTGAAATCAGACCTACTCTAGATTTTTTTTGTCTTTGGTTGAAAGATATATATACTCCTACACTGCAAGTGTGCATCCAGAGAGCCACCAGAAACCCTTACATTCAGAGCTCTAGTCCTGGAGCACTAAGCATGGTATTGTGTAAATAAACAACTGAATATGGGCAGCCTGTAGGTAATGGAACACTGGCCCAGTCATTGTTTACGAAGCTGCTAGCATCATTGCGGTATAACCGTATAACCAATATGCATATAATAGTCAGCCCTTAGGTAGTGAAACATTGGTCCAGTCACTGTTCACTAAGCTGTTAGCATCATTGTAGTAGAGCCAAATGCATAACAGTGAGATCTAATGTAGCAGTCATCTAATATTAGCATCATATATATTCGACTCATGCCTATGCATATCCAAGTGACCACTTCCCCAGACCCCGCATAGAGCGGGAGCTCTCTGCACTAGGTACACCCCTTTTTTTATATATGCATGGTCATGAGTCGAATGTACCGAGACCGAGCAAGCTAAGATCTTCATTAGTGACATAATCTACAAACCAAAATGAAAAAGGCATGCCTAAACACTCTTTCTGAGCTCGCCGCAAGCACATGTGTGTACCTCAATAGAAGGCAGTAGAATTGAGGCTCCGGAATACAGGGTAAAAAAACAAGAAAGAACGATCTTGCAGAATGTTAATCATCATGCTCATGTCCTGAACACAACATTAGAAATGTTCCTCGGTCGCCAATCCATTGCGCTTCCAGGGCGTGGAATGGGTGTTCAGTTGAATCCCCATGTCTTTTCAAATGAAGTCACAACCCGTACCTTAACTGGGAACCAATATTCCAAGAAGCCCAGTGGTGCCAACTAAATATTATTCTCCACCTAGCGCGCTAAAAGACGAAGATGACGAATCTAATCGAACAATGGATGGATCAATTGGAACGGCAGCAGGGGCGGACCCAGTAAAGGACATGGATTTACACATGTATACCCAATATTTTTTGCAAAAAAAATCGAAGTTACTAGGCATGTATACAATTGAAATGAGATCAGATCCGATTACAAATAGGTAAAGAGCTTAAGTTAGGGTTAGGGTGTCCGGTTCCCCACAGGAACACAAGAGAAAAGGTACACATACCTCGTGGCCGTGGGTGCTCGTCACCGGCGAAGGACGCGACGAAGGCCTCGGAACGGACCGACGAAGACCTGGGCACCTGGCGTAGGGCGTTGGCGTCGGCGGCCGCCCAGTTGCCGCAAAAGAGGGACAGAGCGCTAGAAGTGGGGACTGGGGAGTGAGGAGTGGGGACTGGCCGACTGCATCGTGGTCCGGCAGGGTGAATTTGTTAAGGGTAGAGTACACCCTTCGACCTCCGACTCGCAGTGAATTCGATTTTCAACCTTCATGAAACCGGGTAACAGATATCTTCAAACTATCAAAACCAAATAAATTTAGTCCTGCGCTGGTTTTTAAAACGGTTTTTTATTTTTTTTAACAATAATAAAATCTAGTTTGATGTCTAGAAGTTGCGTAATTAATTTATTTGAAATTATAAAAATATGAAACTGGGTGCCAAGCCTTGCTTTTGGTAGAAAACAACTTGAGAGGCGGCATTTATTTTAGACGAAACTAGTACTTTTTTCTAAAAATATTCTCTACTTGTTTATAGTCTATATATAGGTATTTGGAATTGGTTTATTTATGTTCCTATTGCTTTATTGCTCGTTCTCACGTTTGTTATTTATTTAAAATAAGTAAGATCTAAACAATTTTAAATATAGTGTCAACATGTATAGCATTTTTAGAACAAAGCATGAACTAGTTTTATATTTTTATAATTTGAAATAAATTAATTATGAATTTTTAGAGAATTTTTATTACTATTAGAAAAATAGAAACCCGCTTTTAAAACCGACTGAGGACCAAATTTGTTCGGTTTTGATAGTTGGAGGGTGTCTATTACCCGGTTTCATTGTTAAAGGTTGAAAATTAAACTTTAATGCAAGTTGGAAGTTGAAAAATGTACTTTACCCATTTGTTAAAAGAAATACTCCGTTCCAAAAGAATGCAATTCTAAAACCATACCATGTTTTAGCATATCAAATTTGACCATTTATAAATAAAAAATATAAATATTTATAATATCAAATGAATATTATTAGATTAATTACGAAATGTATTTTCATAATAAATTTATTTAGAGTCATAAATATAAATATTATTTACTAAAAACTTAGTCAAACGTGAAACGCTTTAACCGGCACGCAACCTATAGTTGCATCCTTTTCAAGATAGAGGTACCGAAGTATTTTTCATCGAGAAGGTAAATTTGCTAAAAGATATATTTCATTTGTGATTTGCTAGAGATGATCGCGGATCGGGCAGATAAAATATTTACTTGACTGTGAATATATCCATGATCTTAGGTTTTTACTTACCCATGAGCATACACGTAAGATTTCGTACCGAGTGAAAGCATCTAGGCCCTTAGTTGGGTTTCGATGATTAAGACGACATGAGATTACTGTGACTAACGTATGTTTTGCAGAGGCAACTTGAGTTAGGTCATGTTAATGATGATTGTTTGGGCAGTTATAGTTTTTATGCCTCTATCGATGGAAATCGTTTCGGTTTTTAAAGGATGGACAATAAAGTTAAGAACGGACTAGTTCTAAGTGTCGTTTGGCGTTGAATAGACACTTAGAGTAGTTTAGTACTTTGTTTTTCATTTGGCCGTACTATTAAGTGGGGTATGAACTAGTAGCTTGACCTAGGTGAGTCTAATAGGTTAGGTGTGGTGCACACTTATCAAACTTAAGTACTAGTTAGCTCAGAAATAGCCCAAAGATCAATTGGAGTCAACCTCATTCACAAAGGATTTTGAATTAGAAGTGAATCGAGGGTCAAATGTTGACCCGACGTTGTTTTAGTGATAACCAGACTCACAGGTGCTACGCTCGGTCAGTGATCAGCGCGCACAACAAAAGCCGAGGAGCGACCGGACGATGCACAGTCATTTGAATCGGACGCGCATCTAGTCGCATCTGTAGCAGTAGGGCCTCGCTGTCAGGGAGGACCAGACGCTAAGTTTGCAGCATCAGGTCAACATCAGAGAAGGTCCAGAGACCAAAATTCCTGACCGAATGCGTCCGGTGGATGTCGATCGGACACTGGCTAGCGTCAAAGCTCTAGTTTGGTTTTGGTGAATTAATGAAACCCTAAGTGCTAACCTAGTTTATCAAGTGATCATGAGATAGATAGCACATTCCAAGTGGTGAAGCAAATGAAGATCATGACATGAAGATGGCGATGCCATGGTGATGATCAAGTGTTTGGACTTAAAAAGAAGAAAGAGAAAAACAAAAGGCTCAAGGCAAAGGTATATTGATAGGAGCCATTTTGTTTTGGTGATCAAGACACTTAGTGAGTGTGATCACATTTAGGTTTGATAGCCGTACCATTAAGAGGGGTGAAACTCGTATCAGAATGCGGTTATCAAAGTGCCACTAGATGCTCTAACTCATTGCACATGCATTTAGGATCTAGTGGAGTGCTAACACCCTTGAAAATGTTTGTGAAAATATGCTAACACATGTGCACAAGGTGATACACTTGGTGGTTGGCACATTTGAAGCAAGGGTGAAGAAGATAGAGGTGAAGAGGAGTTGGTCTCGCTGGTCACAAAGTGACCGGATGCTGGTCTCAGAGGAACCAGCATGTCCGATCAACTGTAACAGCGAAGACGCTGCGTCGGTCAAATGACCGGACGCTGGGTCTTGGATTGACCAGACGCTAAGGTCCAGTGTTCGGTCCTATTGTCGGGCAGCGCAGAAGAAAGTCACTATGAGACCGGACGCTGGCAGGGTCCGATCAAGCATGATCGGACGCGTCCGGTCGAAGAAATTTGTTTCTGGAACCTTACTAGAAACGACCGGACGCCGAAGGCTGAGCGTCCGGTCAGTTTGTGTGCTGTGTCCGGTCAGCAGACGACCGTTGAAATCTGACGAACAGTATTTAAAGCAGGGGACACATGGCGTGTATCACGTGACCGGACGCTGAGGGCCTGCGTCCGGTCGATCGGACCGGAGCGTCCGGTCACCTCGCGCAGTGCCCAGTGAAGGGGTACAACAACTCTATTTTGTGGGGACTTCTATTTAAGCCCCATGGCCGGCTTAAGCTCACTCTCTTGGCATTTTCATTGACATAGCAACCTTGTCAGCTTAGCTAAAGCCCTCCCACTCATCTCCATCATTGATTCATCATCTTTGTGAGATTGGGAGAGAATCCAAGTGCATTGCTTGAGTGTTTGCATCTAGAGGCACTTGGTGTTCGTGTTTCGCTATGAGATTCGCTTGTTACTCTTGGTGGTTGCCGCCACCTAGACGGCTTGGAGCAGCGAGGATCGTCGAGCGGAGGGTGGTGATTGTCTTCGGCTTCGATCGTGGTGATTGTGAGGGGTTCTTGACCTTTCCCCGGCGGAGAGCCAAAAGGTACTCTAGGGATTGCTTGTGGCTTATGTGATCCTCATCTTGTGTTGGTTGTGCGGCACCCTATTGAGGGTTTGGCGTGTAAAGCCAATTAGCGTGTGAACCTCCAAGTGACTGAATCGCCACAACGAGGACTAGCTTGCCGGCAAGCAAGTGAACCTCGATAAAAAAATTATTGTGTTCATCATTGATTCCGAGGTGATTGGTCTTTATTATTATTCATCCTTGTGATTGATTGGATCCTTCATCTACACGGCGGTATAACTTTCTTGATCATTCTCTTTACATTGTATAACCATGAGAAAGAAATCCTTAGGAAGGAGATGATATTCAATACAATATCATAGATGAAGCTCTTCCTTTAGGACTATGCTGTGTATCACCATAGGCCGTACAACGTCACTCATTCAGACCAGAAGTTGAGGTACCACATGATATGCAAAAACGGTTATACGTGGAGG